CATATTTATACCCATCCCAAAGAAAGGTGATCCCAGAGAATGTGGAAATTATCAAGCAATATCATTAATATCACACATAAGAAAATCTTACTGAAGGTAATTCAAAAATGATTGCAGCCATATATTGATGGAGAGCTTCCAGAAATGCAAGCTGGATTCAAAAGAGGATGTGGAATAAGGTATATCATTGCTGATATCAGATGGATCTCGGCCAGAAAGATGTTTACTTATGTTTCATTGACTATGCAGAAGCATTAGACTGTGTGGCTCATAACAAATTATGGATAACAGTGAGAAGAATGGGAATTCCAGAACACTTAATTGTATGCATGAAGACCTGTACATAGACCAGGAGGCTGTCAGTCAAACAGAATAATACTGCATGGTTTAAAATCAGGAAGGGAATGTGTCAGGGTTGTATCCTTTCACCATACTTATTCAATTTGTATGCTGAGCAAATAATCCAAGAAGCTGGATTATATGAAGAAGAACTTGGCATCAGGCTTGGAGGAAGGCTCCTTAGCAACCTATGAGATGCAGACGACACAACTTGGCTTGGTGAAAGTGAGGATGACTTGAAGCACTTACTGATGAAGATTAAAGGGTACAGTCTACAGTATGGATTATACCTCAATATAAAGAAAACAAAAATCCTCAGAACTGGTGCAATAAACAGCTTCACGATGGATGGAGAAAAGATACTTGGTTCTACAATTAACACCAATGGAAGCACAGAAGTCAAGAGATCAGATGACGTATTGCATTGGGCAAATCTGCTGCAAAAGACTTCTTTAAAATACTTAAGAGCAAAGACATCTCCTTGAAGACTAAGGTGCGCCTGGGTTAGGCGCATGGTCTTTTCAATCACCTCTTTTGCATGTGAAGGCTGGACAATGAATAAGGAAGACCAAAGAAGAGTTGAAGCTTTGGAGTCATCGTGTTGAAGAAGAATACTAAGAATACAATGGACTGCTAAAGTGACTAACAGATCTATCCTGGAAGAAGTTCAGCTGGAAAGCTCCTAGAAAGTGAAAATGGCCAACTTTGTCTCATCTACTTTGGTAATGTTGGCCGAAAGAACCACTCCCTGGAGAAGGATATCATGCTTGGTAAAGTGGAGGGTCAATGAAGAAGGGGAAGGCCCTCAATGAGATAGATTGACATAGTGGCTGCAATGATGGGCTTAGGTATAGCAAGTACTGTGAGGCTGGCACAGGACTGGGCAGTGTTTCATTCTGCTGTGCATAAGGTCACTATGAGTCAGAGATGACTCAATGGCACCTAACAACAACAACAACAAATAGGTAAAGACAAGTATTGATTTGGGTGAAGGGAAAGGCAGTATAACAAAAGTGAGTTACCAACACAGTAACACTAAGGAACAGGAAGACACGGAGAGGTGTATAAGAGGTATAGACAACGAAGATAAACTTTTTAACATGTACAATACTGCATTATCTGTGATAACAAACATTAATCTGCAGATAAATAGATGGGTAGACAGGCTGAATGATCACATATGTCTAGACAACAGGACTATATCCATGATCATATAAGATTAGCAGATGATATTTCTACATATGTATTTGTATGTGGTGTAAGAATGTCCATATAACT